AAACTGGTTTCAAACTAAATGTCCATTAACAGAAGAATGGATTGTAGTATATTCACTCAATAGAATACTTCATAGTATTAAAAAGAAACAATCTAATAATATACTCAACAAAATAGACCAATCTCAAAATCATGTTAAGCAAAAGAAACAAGTGTGATAGAAGAGTGATTACCTATTGAGGATTGATTAGGAGAGAATCTAAGAGAACTTTTTGGAATGATGAAAGTGTTTTATATTTTGATTGGGATGTTAGTTACATGAGTATATATATTTGTCAAAACTGATCAAAGTGTATAGTTAAGATCTTCACAATTAAATATACTAAATTTTATCACAAGTTTTAAGATAAAAAAAAATTTTAAAGGTAGGGAAGCTTTCTTTCCAGGAAAGTTCAGTAGAAAACACTTTCAGTTTAGATTCAGAAGCTAAATTTCAAATTGTACATTTTTTCTTTTAAAAATGAAAGTAGGGCAGCCCCGGTGGCTCAGCAGTTTAGCGCCACCTTCAGCCCAGGGTGTGATCCTGGAGACCTGGAATCAAGTACCGCATCGGGCTCCTGGCATGGAGCCTGCTTCTCCCTCTGCCTGTGTCTCTGCCTCTCTTTCTCTCTGTGTCTCTCATGAATAAATAAATAAAATTTTTTAAAAAATAAAAATGAAAGTATTTTCACAACACTTTAAGGTTCTACAAGTGTGATGACTAAAACACAAATGGGGGCACCTGGCTAGCTCAGTTGGTGAAGCTCAGGTTACAATCTCAGGGTCATGAGATTGAGCTCCACATCAGCCTCAGCACTGGGTGTGGCTACCTTAAGATTCTCTCTCCCTACCCACCTCATACATGTTCATGCTCTCTCTCTCAAAAAAAAATTTTGGTTTCTCTTTTTTTTTTATTTTTTTTAAATTTTTATTTATTTATGATAGTCACAGAGGGAGAGAGAGAGAGAGAGGCGCAGAGACATAGGCAGAGGGAGAAGCAGGCTCCATGCACCGGGAGCCCGATGTGGGATTGGATCCTGGGTCTCCAGGATTGCGCCCTGGGCCAAAGGCAGGCGCCAAACCGCTGCGCCACCCAGGGATCCCTCAAAAAAAATTGTTAATAGTGAAACATACATATAAAGCAAATGGAAAAGTTTTGAAGTTTTATGGTGAGCTTTTGCTTCAGCCACCAGTATGCAATGACAGGAGATACTAATTGGTTGTCACAACTAAAAGGAAAATCACATGTAATGGGCAGCTTTTCTGAACAGAAATGTTCTCTGATATGAGCCCTTTTTTTTTAACTTTTGATAATTCCTATACAGTATACCAGTAGTAAAATCCCATGCAGTAGGATTTAGTTCTGACTTTAGTACTAGCTACCATCTCTTCTCTTGTAGTCTCAGATACCTAGGTACAGAATCTCAGAATGGGGCTGCTAAGCAAGTCAGTTCCAGCATACATTAAATGTATATATAAGCAAGGGCAGTAGGGAATCCCTGGTGAATATATTTTTACAAGAGAATAAAAACAAAGGTTAAAGAGCTTAAAAACTTCCAGGGACTTGTCAGCTAGGACAGTGGCTTCCGAGTACCAGTCCATTACAAAATAAGAAAACAGAAACAGCCTAGAATGTGTGTGAATATACTTTGGTATATACATGTATGTAAAGGTTAGATAGATTAGGTCTTTCCTGTTTTTTAAATACTAAAATATTCTTATTCTATGAACTAATGGTGATAGTAGATGGTAGTTGCACTTAAAAAAAAAGATTTTTATTGAGAGAGAGCACACAAGCAGAGGAGAGGGAAGAGTGAGAGGGAGAAGCAGACTCCCCACTGAGCAGGGAGCCCAATGCAGGATTCAATCCCAGGACCTTGGAATCATGACCTGAACCAAAGGACTTGCTTGACTGAGCCACCCAGGTGCCGGTAGTTGCACTTTAAATTTTCCTACATGACAGGGCACCTGGCTAGCTCAGTTAGTAGAGCATGCAACTCTTAATCCTTGGGGTCTGAGTTCAAACCCCAAGTGGGTGTAGGGCTTACTTTAAGAAATAATAATAATAAGAAGTAGCAATCCTTTGTTAGTCCCCAATTTTAAAAAAATTTTCATTTGTCTGTATAGTCTTTTAAAGCTGATGATCGAGTATGTATTTAAATAACCTGCATAAGTTTGGAGATGAACATGCAGAAGCATTCTTGTAAAGCTAGTTGCATTTGAGAGATGATATCTAAATATCATTAAGGCCTCATCTCTTAAATTTATAACTGAGATACCTTATCATTTAGCAAAGGAAAAGGAAATTTTTTATGAATACTTTTCGTTGTTTTACAGTATTAGCAACATTTGGAAATCCTTTGCATTTATTCTTCTGAATTCTAAAAAGGTAATTTTAAACAAACATGATGTCCTTATTAAAAGATGAAAAATTTTTGATACCTCATATCACCTGTATTAATAGATGACTTCTAAGTAACTTCTTCAAGGGAGCAAATATCAAAAAGAGAAAAAATAGGCAAGATTTGGAACAACATAATTATCTTAAGTAGGGCACATATTTCCTTTTTTTAAAGAAGAAATGATGTATTGTCTACTTTACTCATGGCATGAATAACATCTGGTAACATCTACTGGGAATTTATGTAAATGAGAATTTGATTTTATTAGCAATTATCTCATTCATTAAAATGTCCAGATCATAATTTAGAGCATGTTCTTGATCTTTAATGCTTAAGAATGTGTTTGAAATGTTTTTCCCAATGAAAATCCCAGCACAAAAAAAAAAAAAAAGAAAGAAAATCCCAGCACAGATACATTATCACCAGACTTTCTCCACTGGAAGATCATGGCTTTCTTATGAAGGAGTCTGGGTGAAGTTAAGGGAGGTATAATTGAAGTTGTGGAGGCATTGGCATCGCTGATAAAATTTAATAGCCAGCTGGGGAAGGAGGGCTTGTAATATTTGCAGGTTTCCACTGTGTAAATAAATATTCCCACCTTGGCCAATTTCAGGCTACCAGCTGCTTAACAACTTGTCTCTTAAAAATACTGCAGTGAGCTCTCCTGGACCCAGGAGATGGCTTCAGCACACCACTTGATGGGGCAAGGTGATGGTGCTCAGGAACAATGGATAGATTTATTACAGCTGCCAAGAAAATGTAATTAGAAAATTCCTCTGTGGACATTAAAGACACAATTATGCTTATGGATGCCATGGTCCTCAAAATAAAGAACATAAGAGCCCCCAGATTTATAGGTCAGTCTGTTAGTTCCAAACAACTTTTTTCTCTCAATTCTTTGGACTCCCTATAGGTATGTTTTTTCTTAGCACTATGTCACCAAGGATGTTATTTCATTAATAATCATTGTTAAGAGAGCTGGAATCCATAGTTTATTTCAAAGTCACCAGATGAAAGTAATAGTTAAAACTCTTCATAATTTGAGAACTGACTTATAGTCCTTAGGATATTGAAGTTAAATTCCTATAAATATAAAGCTTGTAGTTTTGGGGAGAAAATAAAAAGTTTTATTAATCTTAAAAATCTGCATATTTTCAAATAGAAAACCAAAATATGTATTTTCATATGGTCTTGACTCTTTTAAAAGAGCCAATCTTGTACAGAAGTCCACAGACCTCTTCTTCTGTCACCAATTTCCTCTTTTCCTCCTCAGATATAACCTATTTTCTACTTCACTTATCCAATAACTACTTTCTTTCCCCTCCTACCTTCCTTCAGAACCTGTCAAGTCCTACTAACCACAGTTAATCCTTAAACAACCCAAAGGCTAGGGGCATGGACCTCTACAGAGTTGAACATCTGAGTAAAACTCGTGACTCCCCAAAAACTTAACTATTAATAACTTCCTATTGACCCGAAGCCTTACCAATAACATAAATGGTCAATTAACGCATATTGTGTCTGGTATATGTATTATGTAATATATTCTTACAAGAAAGTAAGCCAGAGAAAGAAGTTATTCAGAAAGTCATAAAAGATATTTACATTTACAGAACTTGTACTATACAGTACAAGATATAGTACTATAGTACTATATCTAAAAAAAAAAATCTACATGTAAGTGTACCCATGCAATTCAAAGCCATGTTGTTCAAGGGTCAAATGTAGTAATTTTTGCTTTACTACTTGCAATTCATTTGTACTAAAGTGTGCATTCCAGCCTTGGGATTTTTTAAATCTCTAATTTGTTCACTATGGTTCAAGAATCACTAAGCATTTAATGAAAGCTGAAGCCTAAAAATTTACCAAGCCTTTTTCTACAGCCTAGCCCTAAAGATAAACTGATTTTGTCAAGTTAGGAGAGTACAGAGTTCAGGAGGGAGTGCAACACAAAAGTGGTGGGTATCTTTCCCATGTGACTCCTTCATCCTAGGAAGATCACACAAGGGCCTGGTCTCGTTGAAGCTGCAATAGATATAGTCTGGGAAGCTGCTAGTTCTGTAAGATCTTGGGATCCAATCTGCATAATTCGAGATCTCTTTATTGGCTGGGATTCCTTTTCTCCATTCCACCATCCTTCCTTCCCACTACACATTCATGTGAAGTCATATATACTGCTTTGGACTTCACATTAAACCTTTCTCGAGGGGAGTGGAATTCCCAAAAGAACATGTGATTCTGTTCTCGTTAATGCTATCAGATAGAAAAAAACCAACGCATTATATTCAGCTTTTTTAAGTATAGGAGAAAAAATGAATTTCCATGTGCATATTTTCATAAATGTGGTGTTCAGGCTGTCTCACAATTGATAACATGGGGGAGATATACACTTCATACATTACATATGTAACAAAACTTACACCCCTGGTAAAAACAAAATAAATTCACTAAATGAATTATGCTTTGTCTTTATAATAAATTATGTACCTGAGCATTTAGTAAAAAAACAGAAGAGATCTTCTCTAATTTTTTTTCCCCAAACAGATACGTGATCAAAGACCCAAAAGAACTCAGTTATCCACTTGGTAATTATTAAGTAATCTGTTTCTTTCTGTCTTAGAGAGAAAAATCCCAGATGAAGATTTCATCATCTTAATTGATGGATTAAATGAAGCAGAATTTCACAAACCGGATTATGGGGATACAATTGTATCGTTTCTGAGTAAAATGATTGGAAAATTTCCTTCTTGGCTCAAACTAATTGTAACAGTTAGAACCAGTTTACAGGTATGTGTTTGTTTGCTTTGGGACCATAAATTATTTCCCTGGGGCAGTGCTTAAACAGAAAAAGTTCTAGATCCTTGTTCCCTTAGTGATGAGTTTTTCTAAACCTCTACTGTGTGTGTGTCCTGGAGCACACAACTGGGAGAGAAGTTTTTTGTTTGTTTTTTTTTTTTTAATCTTTTTTATTTCCATCCTCACTCACTGGTCATTTAATGGCCTGAAAGAAGGACTAGAAATGTGGAACAGAGCCTGCAAAGATATATGGGCTTAAGGATAAATGACTTCATCCTCTCTGCCATTCTCATTGTAGCTGAGTCAGTATCCCCCATTCATACTTGGTTTGGAATAGTTTCCCAACGTTTTTTTGCCTAACCATAGCCTTGTTTGATGAGCATCAAAGGCTTATACATTATATATCTATCCCACTATTTTAATACAACCATCTGTAATAATTACAGTCTACAGTTTCTCCCTCCTTTTCCCCTCTCCCAGGGACTTAGTAGTATTCCTACATGTTGACCAATTAGCTGTGCTGCCTTCTTTGATCAGAAACTATACTTATAATCCTGGCTATACCACCTTGCAAATGTTTGTTATTAATCTCAAAGTAACTTAAAGAATGTGGAAGAATCAACATAAATGCATCTTTATGACTGAAAGTTACGTAATATACTATTACTGGTCAGTAGCTTGATTGTTAAAGATGAAGGATGAATTAAAAAAACTTCCAGGAACACATTCTCTGACTAGTTTTACTAAATGTTTGCTTAGGAGATATTATCTTCATTTTTATTTTTAAGTAATGCCATCTGCAATTTCAAAAGACATTTTAAGTATGACTTGATGAGCAGATGACTTTAACTTTTCAGCTATGCCAAAGAACAGGAAAAGTGCTATACATATTAATGTACAAAGTCGAAATTTCAATATTCTCATAAATCAAGACCTGTAATAACTTCCCAGATACTTTATTCACTTCAACTAAGAATTTTCTTATTTTCATTCAGTTCTGACAGTGAAATAATTCATAGGTCTTAAAAAAAAAAAACCCTCCTATTTGGTCATTCATTATTTCCACAAACATTTCTTAAGTACTTCAAGTGTGTCAAGCACTTTCTAGGAGCTGAAGATACAACAGTGAACAAGGCAGACTATATCCCTGCCCTCATAAACCTTATATTCCAGTGAGGAACATAAATAAAAACTAAGTGAAAAATTAAACATATATTAAAATTTTAGGTAGTATCAGTCTTATGAAGACAAATAAAATAGATATAAAAGGATAAATGGAGATGATAGTTATTTTGATAAGGCAATGGGAAAGCCCTCTCCAAGGAGCCTGGCAAAGTAATGCTATCTGCTTTACATTTTAAGAGATTCCTTTGGCTGCTGGCCATAAAGATCATAAAATGTAAGGGATCAAGAAGAGGAGCAGAAGTACAGCGGAAAGGTGATGGTGACTTACACTAGAGTGGTAATGGTAGAGACCCTGTGATATGGTCATACTTGAACTATACTTTGAAGGAGAATCAAAAGGACTTAATGATTGGCTGAATGTGGGGTAAGATAGAAGATTCAAGTGAAACATGGTGAGCAACTGGGTAAATGCCAGAATGAGGAAAAGAAAACTATCACAAAGACCTGTAATTTGGTAGTAGGTTGGTGGTAATATGGTTTATTGACACAGAAAGGTTTTGTGGCACTGAGCAAAATTCATTAGTTCTGATTTGGTCATGTTAAGTTTGTCTATGCAACATCACAGTGTCAATGTCAAGTAGACAGAAGGATGCAATGTGAGCTCAGTGGAGAGGACTAAGCCAGAAACACAGGTTAGGCCTCATCCCCAGATAGATTATATTTAGAACCATGGACCAAAGAAGCTGTTGTAGGGAGTAAGAATGGCTAAAGAAGAGAAAGGAGTAGAGACCCCAGCCCTGGATGCCCTGAGAAATGAAAGAAGAGCCAGCTAAAAAGACTGGTAGGAGTGGCCAGTGTGCTAAGAGTAAAATGAAAGTATTACTGTGGAACTAAACTACAGAAAATGACTCAGAAGGCATGATCACCTTGTGAAACACTGCTGAGAGGCTGAGGAAGATGAGCCCTGAAACATGATTATTGGTTTTGTCAAGGTAAAGTTTACATAAAACCTTGACAAGAACCATTTCAATGAAGTGATGTGTTTGAAGTCTGATTGCAACAAATAGAGGACGATGGGAAGGAGGAATAAGAGATAAGAAGTAGGGAGGGAGAACTCTTCTGTGAAGTTTCCTAAAAATGGGGACAGAGTTTTAGGATAGTAGCTGAGGGGAGGAATTGTGGTGTCATTCATCTATGTGATCCAAAAGAGAAGAAGAAATTGATGCAGAAGAAGGTGGATACTTACAGGACCAAAGTCTGTATGCCGATAAGATAGAATCCAGAGTATAAGTAACCATAAAGCCCTAACACCTTTCCCCAGTATAATTTCCAAGCAGATCACCAAGGTACCAAGCATATTAGAAGTATTTCTCTAGGATAAGGCATCTCCAAAAAGTCTGCATTAAAATGTAGTCATCTTATTAGGAAGGTTAGAAAGGTACGTTTTTATATGACATTCTTTTGAGTCCTTATGCATTTCTCTTACTGAATTGTGCTTTGACTTTATGCCATTGTTAACACTGAGAAAAATTACAACAACTACAAAATTACATGGCATTCCATTTTCTATTTATGTAAGGAGTGTTATTTAGAATATTGACCATTAAATCACTCCTAAAGTACCCTTTATGAAGACCTCTAAAAATGATCCCAAGTCTCAATATTAGGAAAAAAATTGTGTCCCATCTGTGCAACAAATTTGTTTTAACCTATGGATACTAGTACTTGATCATATTTCCCTCTTTGGCCACTTGGAAGTTTAGAATAAATGTGTGGACCTCATAGTGTATCACAAGAGTTAGGGGAAACTGAAGGTCTTTCTGTCTCTCTCTCTCTCTCCATCTGTTTTAGGAAATTACCAAGCTGCTGCCTTTCCATAGGATTTTTTTGGATCGACTAGAAGAGAATGAAGCCATAGACCAGGACCTGCAGGCTTACATCCTGCACCGGATACACAGCAGCTCAGAGATCCAGAATAACATTTCACTTAATGGCAAAATGGACAATACTACATTTGGCAAACTCAGTTCTCACCTCAAGACCCTCAGTCAGGGGTCCTATCTATACCTGAAACTCACATTTGACCTCATAGAGAAAGGCTATCTAGTGTTAAAGAGCTCTAGCTACAAAGTAGTTCCTGTTTCGCTCTCTGAGGTTTATTTACTCCAGTGCAATATGAAGTTCCCAACCCAGTCTTCCTTTGACCGGGTGATGCCTCTCCTGAATGTGGCAGTAGCCTCTCTGCACCCACTGACTGATGAACATATCTTCCAGGCCATCAATGCTGGTAGCATTGAAGGCACCCTAGAATGGGAGGATTTTCAGCAGAGAATGGAGAACCTCTCCATGTTCCTAATCAAGCGCAGAGACATGACTCGTATGTTTGTACATCCTTCTTTTCGAGAATGGCTTATCTGGAGAGAAGAAGGAGAGAAAACCAAATTTCTCTGTGATCCCAGGTAAGCCACAGACCTGTATAATAAGCAATTCTGAGCCTATTTTGTATTGATTGCATGGAGCATGGGTATTGAAAGCCATGAGAAGTGTTCTTCATTGAACATTTCACACGAAGGAAACATCATCTCTGTTTCTTTCAAGACAGGGCTTTAATGAAGTTAATTTATTTTTTCACATTGTTATTTCCGTAAGACTTAAAATCTGTATGGATATTTAGAATACTCTCCTACATTCCTGTACATTCCTAAATAATTTTCTCTGTGCTAGTGAACCCAAGCTATAATTAATTTTGCCCTTTCACAGATTTTCTCAGTGTTCTTCAGATATGAAGAATTGATAACATTGTTAATCTCTGACTTAGAGTAACCCCATTAAAGCCCAGCCAGTGTGATAAGGTTTATGCTGGAAAACAGAATCTTAAACCTCACAGCTACAACAGACTTGAAGAGATCAGGTGGCCTAGCTGCCCTCCCTATAGTTGAATAAGGTGCCATGGTTCCCATTTTACAAATATCCCCTTTTACAAAGGCCTTAAGATGCTAAATCAGTGCTGGAAGTCATCAAGTTAAAAGGTGGGGGAAAGAAGGAGGGACTAGAAAAAGAATGGCAGGGCAGCCTGCATGGCTCAGTGGTTTAGTTCCACCTTCAGCCCAAGGTGTGATCCTGGAGACCCGGGGTGGAGTCCCACATGGGGCTCCCTGCATGGAGCCTGCTTTTCCCTCTACCACGGCTCTGCCTTCCTCTCTCTCTCTCTCTCTCTCTCTCTCTCTCTCTCTCTCTCATAAATAAACAAAATCTAAAAAAAAAAAAAAAATGGCAAATATGTAGTATGTACCATCACTCCCCTGCCCTGCAACCGTGCATGCCCAGCATTCCTGCCTGATGAGCTTGACTCTGATTTGATGATCTTTCTCAGCTCAACAAATCAGAGTAGTGTGAAACTGTTTCCTGTTCTCTTGGGTAGAACCTAGATCTCTAGAATCCTAGAGGGGTGTGCTTTCTACTCCATACTATCTTTTTAAAAGAATTATTCCTTTAACAAAGTTGGTGTTTTCAAAAGCAGATATACCTCTGACTTACTAGAAGAAGACACCAACAGCATAGCTGGCCAGAGCAGAACTTATTCTGGCTCGTAAAGAAGAGAGACCAGATGTGACTGTGCCTCTGTCCATGACTTATCAGAGAGACTAAAACCTCTCTGATCATGCTGGGGTTTTATTTCTCTCCTGACGTGTTCTTCACCCAGCCTTATTAGACACAACTGTGCTTATGGGCATGCTGCTTAGCCTACTCCATGCGAGTTCGTTAGAAAATTAGTTCCAGATTCTGATAAAGATATTAAGCCAGGGATCCCTGGGTGGCGCAGCGGTTTGGCGCCTGCCTTTGGCCCAGGGCACGATCCTGGAGACCCGGGATCGAATCCCACGTCGGGCTCCCGGTGCGTGGAGCCTGCTTCTCCCTCTGCCTGTGTCTCTGCCTCTCTCTCTCACTGTGTGCCTATCGTAAATAAATAAAAATTCAAAAAAATATATTAAAAAAAATTTAAAAAAAAAAAGATATTAAGCCAGGCAGTAGATTTTGTGGTATTTTCCCTGAGGTAGAAACTTTTAAAGAAACAAGCTGTAGTGGAAAGAACATGGATTTTTGAGTCATTACCTGTATATAAATCCTGTTTCTTCTAGGAACTGTGACCTTTGGAGAGTTCATGTTTCTGAGACAATTTTCTTATCTATGTAAAAGAGATAATAATAATTCCTGGGGATCCCTGGGTGGCGCAGCGGTTTAGCGCCTGCCTTTGGCCCAGGGCGCGATCCTGGAGACCCGGGATCGAATCCCACATCGGGCTCCTGGTGCATGGAGCCTGCTTCTCCCTCTGCCTATGTCTCTGCCTCTCTCTCTCTCACTGTGTGCCTATCATAAATAAATAAAATAAAAAAAAAAATTAAAAAAAAAAATAATAATTCCTAAAGTTCAGAACTAAATGAGCTCATGTAGTATAATACCTAAAATAGTACAGAATACAAAGAAAGTGTTCAAGGAATGTCCCTCCTTCTCCCCACCTTTGGAGTAATAGACCCTTTTTTTTTTTATAGATATAGACCCTTTAGATACACCTTAACTACATCTTGTAGCTAATTGGATAAGCAGTAGTAGTCTTCTGCTATTAACATTCAGGGGCACAGATTTTTTTATTGGAGTTCCATTTGCCAACATATAGTATAACATCCAGAGCACATCTCGTCAAGTAAGGGTGCAAGATTTAAAAAACAAAACAACAACAAACTTGAGTCTTAGTTCTTTGTGAATTATATGGCATTCCCAAGAGTATTTTACTATAAATCTCACTAGTACTGCTACAATAGTTAATTCATAGAGTTGGCAACCAAATATTAAATAAAAAGAGACCAATCTAGAATTGCCTCATGAACACTTTGAAATCAGTTTCCAGAGAAACTTTGCTGGTTGATCTGCTCTCTTTCTTCCTGCAACATCTCAGAGAATTGAATGCTGAGATCCAAGGCAGCCAGGCTACCACTGAATTAACAGTATCTTTACAACAGATGAAACCTTAGGGACTCTAAAAGGAGAAAATATGGTATTTTGCAGTCATATCATGACTTTACAGGCTTACCTTCTCAACATGATTTATTAACTAGAAGCATTTTGGCAACAAGCTGATACACTGGGACAAGCAAACACTTCTAACTTCAGATGCTATGTAGTCTGTTCCCTGGTGATTGAATAACACATGGAGCTGCTGAGGGATCATCATATATCACTTAATGACACAGAGAGTAAAATAGTAGGACCAGGAGTTATCACAAAAGCTTCCTTACATTTCATTTCAGTTGGAATTCAGCTTTCTACCCAGCACTGTCTGGCACCAGCTTTGTTACTAAAGTATTGATCTCAGAGTTCGAGGCCCCCTGGGTCAATGAGATGGAAATTCACTAAGAATTTAATGCTGTTGGCAAAGCCCAAGCTGGCCTTTCAAAGAAACTGGCTGTAATTGCTTTCCATTTCAGGCAAGTCTGATTAGCAGAACTCTTTCAAAGCAGGGTTTGTCTTTGTGGCCTTCAGCCCCTGCTTCCTGTACATTCCCCATCTGCTCTCCTGTTTCTCCCCATTTTCTTTCTAGAGCATCACGTGTATTTCACTAGACCAGAGAGACCAACTCAGTGCCTCTGAAATCACACTATGTGACCCAGTGCTGACAGGCCTGTCTCAGTATAAGGAGAACTCTTAGAGTCAACAGAACATCTTTGCCTCTTCTAGTCCATTTTCCTGGGCTTTCAACACTTTCTTGTTCACCCTGAACTTGCTGACCTTATTAGGGAATTAGACACAGAGAATATTCTATCCTGAAGCCAAAAAGTAGTTGATCTTCATCAGAAATAGGCCACCCACAGAGGTACTTCTGTTAAACTGAAGAGGGTCAATAATCTGAAGATGGTGCTGGAAAGAGGAAATAGCTGAGCCAGAGGTCAGTGCTACAACTGAGATAGAGTTTTCCTTATTTTAAATATCAGATGGCTTGTTTCCCAGGATGTCAGAGAACTGACATCCCATAGAGAATGACCTAATGTTGCATAAACATATAACTGTCACAGAAAGAGATGAGTTATAGATGTCTTTTCTCAGTTTGGTAAAAGGACTGTGAGGGTGTGTGTGTGTGTGGCGGGTGTATCAAGCTATAAGCAAAGCATCACTGAAAAAATTTTTATGACATCAGAATTTCTAAATTTTTGGATTTGCATTCTGGATGAAAAAATGCCTCTTGAAGCCCTGAGAAACCTTAGATCTTACCACCTTATTCTTTCCATTTCCCACTATTCATCACTGTCATATCCTGTCCTACTCTGAAATAAATCTAGTTTATATTTTATTCCCTTGGGCATTGAGATATCAGATTAACTCACTAATCTTATAAACTAATCTCTGCTGTTATGCTAATAAGAGGTAGATTGCAAACCCATTTGAAGCAACTTGTGCATTTCAGTAGGCATTTGAGAAAAGAAGTCATCAGTCTTTATTATCTAACCTATTGAGGACTTTGATAGTTGAAATTTGAGGCTGGGAGAGTAAACAGTTGGGGGCTGCAGGCCCTGTACTGTTTAATATTTCTTCAGAGTTGTTAGGCTAGCCCTGCATGAACCCCCACTCTTTTTTGTTTCCTTTCTTCACTATCTTTGTCTTCACAGTATCTAGCCTCTCCTTCCATAGGAACAGCTCATAGATCAACATTTTTATATGGGAATATATATGTAAGATTTTTATCTAAAGATCAGAAGACTCAGCTACCATATTTTTAACTGTTTGAATAAAACACATGAGGCTTGTGAACTTTTGAGTACTGAGCTGATGTGACCTAATGAAGTTATGATTTGGGACCCTAATTTGGATTGATGTGATTTCCTCAAACTAAGAGAAGCAAACTTTATGGCGGGTGAAAAGGGGGAAGAGCTATACAGATCCTGTGGGGGTAGTTGAGTACTTACTTGACTCTGTGACTAGAGTTGATATCTTAAATACATGGTCTGTTGAGATCTTTCCTAATTATTTTGGTCATGTTTGTCTATGAATTACACATTGGAGACCTGATGCTCCAAAATGCATGCCACAGAGCAGACTGTCAGAGAAGAAGCAATTTGCCTAAGGCAAAAAGAAGGCATTCCCTTAAAAAGGAAATCTAACTCTATTCAGAGGACCCGCACAGATTGGCTTCTTCTAGAACACATGGCTCTGAAATAACCACAGAATGGTAAATTGCAGGATTAAGGTGATTCTTTTTGTTTGTTTTAATCTAAACATGAGCCTCCAGGAAGGATGATGTTTAACTTTGACCTCTGAAGCACAAATTCTAGGTTACTGCTGATAGCCCTTGCAGACTTCCACAACAGACCCTTAAATTGGGAATAAGTTCTGCTTTCTAAAAGCATTAGGAAAGAAGTCAGCAAAGTGATGGATCATGGGAAGGAAAAAAGGGTCTGGAACTACATCA